GGAGTGTGCCCAGCAGATGCCGGCGAGGAGACACACTTTCATACCTTCATCCCCAAGCTGTGTATCCCACTTCCTCAACTATTTCCTTAAAAACTCTCGTGTCATTCATGACTTTCGATTGGAAGCATAGGTGAGTAGTAGGCCGTGGCAGCGTCTCATACAGTTCGGCCGGCGTCTTTAACTTGCCGATCACAAATAGACAAAGTTTTGTCGAACCATCCATGTTGGCGGCAAGTAGGACCGTGATCCGGGCCTTGTTTTGCTTGCCACCATGACATTTCTGCCCGCGAGTGTCCAGAGTTTGGCACGGCAGCAGCATCTGCGAGAAGAGGCCCGTTATGTCCACGTTAAAAATATCTTTTGGATGATATTTGGCACAAATTTGAGGCCACTCTTCTTTCGTCCACTTGTCTATCGCTGCTGCGTTCGCCAACTTGCTTTCCCTCATACAGCTTTCTCGGCGATGTCGACCGGTTCTTAAATCATTGCAGCCACCCTGCACTGGCACTAAAATTTTTGGCATCGAGTATGAAAGTGAAGTCTCTTGCATTTTACTACAGCATTGGCCCCAACACAGGAATATTCCTAGCCCTTACATCGACGAACCATTTGTGAAGACATTCTTCGACGCGTTCGAAGGCAGCGGGTCGAATACGCCGTGCGTTGACATATTTTTCCCCGTCTTGCTGAACAATTTCCTTTTTCTGCTTCAGCACCGTGCTTAAGGAGTGACGAGACTTTGGGATCGCGAAAAATGGCAAAAAAAAAAATCTATTTTTTGAAAATCAAGTTTTCGGTTTCTGGAACCTTTTTTCTATCCGATTCCAAAATATGTACACTGAAAACTGCGCAAAAGTGCTTCGGAAAATTCATTTCACCCACCTAGGTAGCGAAAATATTTCTGGAAATAGCGAGTAAAGAGGAATTTTCGAAAAATTATAGCTTCGCGATGGCGGGGCCGGTAGCCGGCTTCTTGGGCTCCAAGGAAAGAGTATTTCTCCGTGTTTAACTTTTTCGCCTCCGACGGCTTCTTTTAAAAACAAGCCCACAAAACGCAAATGTATGACGGTTGTTTTGAGGCCCTTGATTGTCTGTGGCCGCCATGTTGCCTCAGCTCGCCTCGCCATTGGCCCGATGCTCGTTCTGGGAGATCGTCGTCTGCTGCTTGTGCGTCGCAAGGACATGGCTCTCGAAAATCACCACTTCGTGACGTGTTCACGGCTTGATAATCACTTAAGATATAACTACGCTTTAGTTACGTGCAGTAAGCGGATGCGCGATCAGGTTACTACGAGCGTCAGCGCGGTCTAAGAGCGCCGCGCGTCATTGGAGTCGTCTTTAGCCTTAACTCCGCCGACTGCGGGCAGGAACGACGCGCTAGTGCATTCGTGGCGACGTGCTTCTTCACAAGCAACGAAGCTATAAGTGGCCGCGCGATCTGATTACTACGAGTGGCCGCACCGGACGCACGATCAGATCACTACGAGCGGGCGCGCGGCGGTCTACGAGTGCGGCGCGTCATCGGAGTCGGCTTTAGGCCGAACTCCGCTGACAGCGAGACTGCGGGCAGAAACGATGCGCTAGCGCACTCTTGGCGGCGTGCTTCTTCGCAAGAAATGAAGCACATCACTCGCTAGCTCCTCTGAACCACGTACAGGCATTGGCAGCTGACCACAAAATCGCATTACCACACGTGACCACACGTTACGCATTGGCAGCTGACCACACAATCAAGCTCGCACCCCCCCCCCCCCCCCCTTCACTGCCAAGGATTGCTCCGAACAGCGACTAGCAGTTTCACGCGTCGTCACACGAAAATGTGATGCCAGGCGCAGTACGCGGTGATTTTTTGTAATCGTAATTACACATTTCGCGCTCCACCGAACGCCGCCGGCAAGTGCATTACGCGCCGGCTGCACTGTCCATGCGGCCGCGCACTCCACGGTCATGTGGAGTGCCGCCAGTAAGCTTTCGTGATGCAATTTAGACATGTGTGATGCGATTTATACGTACTTGGAGCCGTGCTTGGTATCGCCACGAGCGTCTATGAATGTTCTGAGGCAATGAAAGCCTTGTAGATTAGCGTTGCCACGACCGGCTGTATGATGATGCGTTTCACGGCCAGAGTGGCATAAGAGGATGTATGAATCTGGGGAATGAATTTTTATATGCCGTTTTGCGTCATTAAATTTACTGCTAAAAATTCCTGTGCCACCAGTCTTCTGCCCATAACTTTGTTATGGGCAGAACCTCTCTCCAAATAAAGAAATGTTCAGTGAATATTTGAAATCAAGTACTTAATTATGCTAATTACAACTTCAGCACAAAAAACGTGTAATCATTTCAGTATATGGTCTTATTCAATTACAACCTTTTCTGTCATGCCTATCACACCACTCATTCATACAATAAACTTGGTTTGAAATCCATACTTGTTCTTTGTAAAACGTGAAAAGGAAGTTATGGGGGGGAAAAAAAGGACAACCAAGGCACACTGGTCAGAGACCAGATACCTGAGAAGTCAAATATCACAAGACAAACATAAGATCTCAATCTTTAGGTGTTTTAAAGACGTAAAAAGAAGTTGAAACTTTAAAAGCAGTTCTCTCAAAACTGTTTTTTTTTTTTTTTTGCATTATACTCAACTCCTGGAGCAAATACCTGGGAATCCACTGTACAGGTTCTGATTTCGTTTATTTTGTGATGCTCCTTGAACTGTGCTTCAGGGGGGCTGCGATCTTTGTTTTTCATTTTACTCCTTGAAGAACTTTTTTATAGGGTTTCTTGTTTGTAGTGCAAGTGTGCTCATTGCAGTGTCGCTGGAGAAAACATTAACTACAAGTTTTAGTGTAGCAAAAGAATTACTTTGAGAACGCAGCCCCCTTCAACATACATTTGGCTGTGCATACAGTAATTACCAACCATTCTAGTCATTTTATAATTCCTCCAGCCCCCCCAAGATGTTTAATTGAAAAATAATTTGTCTCTCATTAGGTATTTGTGCTATCACCTCGAAATTTTTATGGATGCAAGGTGAGGCCATTCTTAGTGTCTGTGCCAATTTTAATCATCATCCGACCAGAAACAAGAAAGTTAATTGTCAAAGGCACGTCCCCCCCTTAATGTGCTGTGAGGCATTTGGCGAGCATCAGCAATGACTGACTTCTTTTCATCTCTTTCGACACGCCGAATCATTTCCAACTTCGTCGCATACGTCAAGGCAGTCTGTTTCTTCCTGTTTTGCGCCAAGGTGACGGTGTACGACACCGCCTAGCACCACAAAAATGTGCAAACAAAGAAAACACCACACACACCCAACAAAAAAACAACCGCTAGCACGGAATGACAACGTGCAAACTGACGCGTTCACGCCATCGATCATCAAGGCCTCTCCATTCTACCGGCGCATCAGGCGCATCAGATTTTAATAAACGGCTGTATCCGTATCCTTAAGAGTGAACCTTGCCGATCTCGGAAGCCATAAAAAAAAAAATCGTCATTGGCCGTCTACGCCGCTAAACCACGTAAGGCACTACAGGCACATCAGATGTAAATGTGGGTCTGCCTGACTGCCGCTGTGCTGCGGAGAAGCCAAACATGCGCTCCTGAAGCGGTCCAGGAAATTCGGTCTATCCATTGGGCGCTCGAGTTCGTTTGCTATAAAAAAACAAAAAAGTCATTCTTTATACTTTCTATCGGTAGTTTGACATAGCCAACAATTCGTTATATCTATGTTCGTTACACCGAGGTTCGACTGTAGTGTATTTCTAGGAAACTCTATGCTGCCCACCTGTCCTTGCTAGGCTGTGCTGTGAACCTGACATATACCCCACTTCTTCCGAGCACAATTATCCCAATCCTTTCCTTTTCCTAAAGCTGCCATCAAGTTATATGACAAAACATTTTGCCACAAGGGCAAAGCAAAGAATGTGATAGCATATAATTGTAAAGCTGGCAGCAGATCCGATTTCTCACAACTCTAAAAGGAATATGGCTGCGCCAGGAAGACATGCTCTTCTTGCAGTCTCTTCACCATCAGAGCACAGCACATAGGATTCAGGAGTCATTCGCGCTGATGCCTGCCGTGACAACGCGGACAGCGATTGCGACCACACCCTTAGAATCAAATGGCATCTTCAGCTGAGGTGCACTAGCACAGTGACAGCGGAAGAACAGTTACATCAAATGCCGCCCGAGTTTCACGCCCCGCTACGGGCCAGACGAACATGTGAACCATTAGACTCAAACTCCACGACAGCGGTGCCATCTATGAGAGGTACCATTGAGTAGACAACAATTTTCAGTGTCCTGCTTGTACTGGGAACAAAAGAGCAAACGAAAGAAAGCCATATAAAGAGACAGCGAAACGCTACTTGTCCAGTGGGTGCGCGTCTGTTCTCCAGGCTGTTGTGCAGCATCAGTTTTGTACGAACTTAATGAGGGTTACGGTAAATTTCGCATCGCCTACAGTGTCCAGTGAAATCCTGGCACCAAAGTAGCCTTGCACGAGTACGATCGGACGATACAAGCTCTTACACGTTTTTTCCGTCCTATCCGACCCTGTTCTGCGGCAGCGCCAGCCGTAAATTACGTCTGAAATCATGGAACGTCCTCACATCGTCTGCAACACCATGACGTTCCATGATTACGTAAACCCCCTGTATAAGTGGTTTCACTGCACTTTTAGGTGCAGTGAAACCACTTATACAAGGGGTTCACTATTTGTTTATTTGAGTATTAAAAATTTTCAGAAAATAAATTCGAACCGTACCACATTTGAATGCAGTAATATTAGGGCAAGCCCAAGAAAATGTGTTTGCAAACTGTGAAGCCTGCATTACCGAAGCTTTCGTTTCCCCTTAAAACGAAGTTGCTGCAAATTTTCCTGATGAGAGTACAATTTCTTGAGTTTTCCCCCACTATCGAAATTCTCTGAAATTTCCCAGTGGTCGGTACACACCTCGACGGTTCTGGTGATGACAAAATTTAGCAGTACTGACCCTGCGGCAGTTGATGTTGTGGCTGAGGCTGTACAGGAGATGTGACCCGCGGTGGTGTCACCACAGCTGGCATTGGCGAGAGGAGCGGTGAGCTGAAGGCGGCGGGAACTGGGGGCGGGGCCTGCGGAGACTCCGCCCCCAGCACTGGAGTGAGCAGGCCCGCCATCTCCTCCTGCTCGCGGCGCTTCTGCTCGGCATTTTCAGCCTTGATGCGCTCCAGGCGCTCGCGGTCAATGCGCTCGATTTGGCGTTGTGACCGCCGCAGTGGCTGCTGAGGCGAGCCCGGAGACACCAGGCCAGCATCATCGCCGTCTGCCTCGTCCTGCGGCCTGCACATCCAACATGACACGGCATGAAGTCAAAACAATCACCAGCAGCATGGCTATGCCGATAAGGCCTCTCCATGTGCTGTAAACCCAGTCCTGTGCTTGCTACAGCCACTTCACCCTCGAAAACTTTTTAAAGAACAACTGCAACACATTTTGACTCCGGCAGAATAAGCTAAGAATGTGTTGCATGTGTTGGGTAAGTAGTGATAATAAAAACAGAAAGCCTTGTAGTCGCGTGTTTCTTTTATAATTGGCGCTCTAATTGTCAGCTAGCCGACAATGTAGAGCCCTAGCAGTGCGCCCGAGCAAATCGGACACAAACGGAAATTGCATCGTCAATCGCAGCGCACTGCCACTCGTGAGCAAAACTCCCTGCACCGCATCCCTTTCTTTCCCGCGTGATGCTCCTTACAAGCGGCTAATTCATTCCATACTACCCTTTTGTAGTAGAAAATCAGACAGCTGGAACACATGCGCTATGGCCAGGACCAACTTATCAGGCCTTTTCGAAAAACGTGAAGCTGTGACGGCTGCAGGTTATTGCAGTGTAGCGAAAGGAATCTAAACACACAGCATTTTACGCGGCAAACTTCATGAACGATGACTTTACGTACAACCAGCGTTTCTTCACCCAAATACTATTGAAACTGAAAACATTATTAATCCCGACGCATTGCCTTAACTGTTAAGCCACAGCAAATGCAAAAGGGGGAGATCGGGACCAGCGAGCTGCACTGGTGAGCATAGGCATTCACATCAAGCTACTTTAGTACAGCTTAAAAAGCTTGTATAGTGCAACGCCACTCAATAGTCATTTGATAGACCGTAAAACAACACCCCTGAAAGTGCTAGACCAACTGCGCCCTTTACATGTGAGTTGTCAAAGCTCCAAAAGCTGATTAGCACACTTTTAGTTGAAGCAGCAAAGTTGAACGGATTTTTGGTCGTGCTCGTTTTAAGGTGCTTAAAAAACATAAACATATCTTAAGGGGGGATGCTACACCATCCCAAAACTCTTTTATTTTTGCGAGTACCTCAGTCAAATTTGGAGAGCCTATGTAGATTTTACTGCTGATTTCAAAAATCTAATTCTTTTTTTGCGGTGACAATTAGTTTTAAAGATATAATGAACTGCGAATTTTTCAATTAAGGCCTAATTAGCTAATTAACTGTAACTTGGATATTGATGTGCAACCTATAGAACCAATTCAGTATGTTCACAGTGTGCAATAAAGTATAAATCATTGTTCTGGGCTATTTCGAAGCAAAGTTGTGGGATGTTGAATATGACATGAAAAATTTCCCCATCTACACTTGAAACAAAAGATCCATTTAGAGAATTTCCTCCAAAAATTATTACAATAAAACTTACTTTACGACACATCCCCTGCATTTATCTTCGAAACAAAAAAGAAATCATAATGATAACCCAGATAGAACAAGAGATATTGCTCTGGCATAATGGAAAGCACATGAAAATTGTCGTTTTGAGAAATCGAGAAAAAACGTGGGCACACATTTTTATTGCAGAAGATGCAACAAGACAACCTCAAAACGCACCAGAAGCATAGTCTGAATGCATTTTGTGCTCATGCCTCCTCTTCACTAGCTTCCGGAGTTCCAATGAGGCTGTTCTTTTCTTGTTGAAGACAATGCTGCGACGGTGGTCTTTTTCTCTCGCTCTCCTGACACCAGTACTTGTCGCATTCATGTTCATTTCACCTAAGATTGCCGTTGCAGAATTCAAATTGCCCGTGTTGAAGCGCAGCACTGCTTCTGCAACAGCTGCTTCAACAGCGAACAGGGACGCATGGTGCTCCTTGGGGGCCAAACTCCAGATTACCGAATGTAGGCTCTCGTTGGAGTTCTGCGTTTTGCCGCGTTCGCACCTCTGAAGCAGGGCTTTTTCCGAAAGCCGGGTATAAACCGGTAGTAATGCCTCTGCCACGTCTTTCGGTAGATTGTAGGCATGCCTGGGGTCGGGCTCACCCTTTGCTTTTGCGGCATTGTGCCGACACCATGAAGTTTCACCAGCTGGGCACAGACTGTGGTCCGAGCATTCATCAGTGGAGGTGACGTGGCAGTATGTGGCCATCACAGCCTTTTGCATCTCGCCCACGTCACCTTCATGCGATTTCAGAGCCCTGCCATAATATGTGCTCAGCCTGGTGATCAGCTCACCTGTGAGCCTGCCTTTCCCACCAAGGCCTCTTTTCCCATCGCACTTTTGTTTCTGCACCAGGTTTCTCAATGCGGTGCCCATCCGTTTCTGTACACGATTAATACAGTCTTCCTTCTGCACGTCAATGTAACCATACACCTTGGCGTCTTGTATGGCGCAAAATGTCCTAGAGTCTCCATCAGACAGCATAGTTGTGTAGCGCAGGCCATGGCGTTCAAGCGACCTCTGAAATAGAATTAGAGCCGCCTCCACTTCCATTTGCCCTGCTTTGCTGTTCGTATTTTTTTGGCATTTGTGGTTAGCCTTCCATTCTTGATAGCCCTCACTACTAGGCTTTGGGCCCACCTCGCAGCCTAGACAAAAGTTGGAAAGAACGACCTAGTCCAACACGTAGCCACTAAATAATTCGATAACTGTGCCCACGCCGATGTGGGAAGAATGGCCTCGCGTCTTTCACGTGCCGTCGTAGCTAACGGCAATATTGCCCCGGTGGCCGAAGCACAAGTCATCATAAATTGTTCTAACCTTTTCCGCACATTCGCTCATAGCGGACTCAGCCGCTCACGTTGCAGCGGGTGCCAGCGTGTTCTTCAAATGCCGCTGAAACGTCTTGTGATGCATACCGCGGTGTGAGATGCCCATTGTTGCGAAAATATCGTTCATTTTCGTTTGGCCGTTGCCGGTAGCCACCATCGCCCTCGAAGCGAGAAGATTTACTTCAAACGGATTGCACGTTTTCGTGCCGTTCGCGCGGGGCGAAGTCCATTCATTCGCGATCTCGCCGTACCTTTCACACTGCACTAGCACTTTCACGGCAAGTCCGTAGTCCCGATCCCCTCTGACGATCGTAGCCGGTCCGTGGCAGGCTTTGCAACACAAGGCACCCATTATCGCGTTTAGGATATCTAGATGCATAAGCAGATAAGGAGCAGCGTGGTCCGAGTCCTGTGCGGTTGCCTCACTACAACTCGCGGTGAAAAAGTCAATTTTCCGTGCAGTTGCTGGCGCCGATGAAAGCCAGTCGAGCGTCGCTTTCTCCCAGGCATGATTTTCTTCAACTTCGGCGTTTGTCACCACCTTGGCGTCGATTCGTAGTCGTCCGGAGTTCGCTTCACCGTCATCGTCGTCGGAGGCAACGCGCTCGGTCGCACCATCGCTGAACGGCCGCGGAGCGTCGACACATCGTTCGTCGGAGTCAACCAAGGGCTCTGATGACTTCATAGACTTTCTCCCACGACCTTTGCGTTTCCTGCGACCAAATGCGTGCACGATCCGATACTTTTTTGCGTTTCCAGGCATGGCGATACGATCAGAAGCTTCAGAGTGCTCTGCCGATTTCGAGGCGTCACAGCGGTAACCCTTTCAAAATGGCGTCGGGTCGCGTATGCAGGCGCAAGCCGCGAGCTTCCAGCCAACCGGAAAGCGCCATTTCAGTCACGTACGCCGTTTAGCCAATGGCAGTGAGCGCGGCTCTTCGTCTTTGAGGCCCCGTTTTTCGAGCCGGGGAAACGCTCAATGTTGCTTACGGAATAAAAAAAACAGCTAAAAACGCGTTCTTTCAAACAAGACCAAACTGGCGCCGATCGAGCGCGTGGTTCCCGCGTATCGTAGAGCCGAAACCTGCGCTATTCGCCCTCAATTTAAAGGGCAGCACGCCCGTTTTCGGTTTTTTAAAGTTGAATAACGATAAAAGTTGATGGTATTCGGCTATGAAATTTTGTAAATAGGTGCGCACTGATGTCGGGAACACGAAAAGAAGGTCCGCGAAAACTCGATTTTTTGGCTGATTTTCGGTCCCGAAGTGCCGCGTCACCCCTTAAGAAAACAAATTATGCCATGTTAGATACAATGTAAGTGCAATAGACAAGGGTTTACTTAAATGTAAGGATGCTTATTGTAGACATGCGAGTGTGTAAAACTAAGCATCAATATTGAAAACAGCGCTATCTTATCTTACGTTTATATCAACAAAGCGAGAATGCTGGTTGTATAAACCAGCAGCATCATTTATTGTGAACCAGCGAATTCTCCAAGACAGCAGGACAAGACAATAGGTAAGGAAGCGGCAGCCACTGACGCTTCAAGGAACCTTTACAAGGCTTAATTTGAGTGTCCTTCAAGGCGATTGTGTACATAGCTTATTTCTGCGTTACGATCTGAAAAGTAACCTCGAAGGCGCAAATGCTTAGTGCATACTTTGGAGCGCACAGCAGACGATTCACCTGCATCTGTCAGTCTGTTAAAGGCCAACTCCAGCGATTTTTCGCCCATGTCACGGTAACGGAAATCGTGTTTCTATATTCTTGAGAAACTCTTGTCACGAGCCAAATAGCCGAAATGCTCAGGAAATTTGAAAATAATTTGTAATTAGCAAAAAGGTGCAATGCCAAAACCGAAACCCAACCGGGTGACCTGTCTGCGTATGACATCCTATACCCGTGCCAAACACAGCCACCGGCCGCCTTGTGGCCAGCACAGTAAACGCTGTAGTGGCCAAAGTAGCGATGCCATTGGCTGCGTCACTCCCATAGACATGCCAAACATGAAGTCACAGACAGTGTTGATTGATTGATAAGTGGGGTTTGACATCCCAAAACCACCATATGATTATGAGAGACGCTGTAGTGGAGGACTCCAGAAATTTTTACCACCTAAGGTTGTTTAACGTGCACCCAAATCTGAGCACACAGGCCTACGTTTCCGCCTCCATCAGAAATGCAGCCATCGCAGCTGTGATTCGATCCTGCGACCTGCGGATCAGCAGCCAAGTACCTTAGCCACTAGACCACCACACAGACAGTGTTGCCAATAGTTCTGG